TGTTTTAAGAGTTTAGGGTAGTATTGTCTTTTTCATACTAAAAAGTGATTTTTTGTTTAGATATGTTTTTCTATGACTTATTTGTAAATCAGTTTGAGTATTATGACTTTTCTGCAAATAAGTCTATTATATAATGGGTGTCTTTTTATTTAAGCGAAAATGAAAGAGAAATAGCGTTTGTGTTGCAAATCAAAGTGATAAAGAGAATAACACATCTTTGGAACTTGGAAGTTAAAAGTGAACTATCTAGTATCTACGAGGCATGGCGAGACTGAAATTGAAGACACAATGATGAAGCTTCAGCTTTGAACACCATAAATCTCCTGGCACCCAATTCTCATATAAGTGGACTTAACAATTATAATAATACATGTGGATAATTGATCTTGGTGAAAGTTTACTTCAATTTTGCATGATATTATTATTATGAAACCATTCGGAATGCCACCTGCGGCTCTTAAAAGACGGAGCCGCTCACGTATTGGAAAGCTATCGGTTTTGAGTTTTCGGAAACTCGCAAGTCGCAACTTCCCACGTACGTACGGTGGTATTCCTCGGAGTAATGATTCCTTGTTTAAAATTTATAGGCATGTCATGTGTGGATGGATAGTAAACCTTAATATTCTTTAAGTTGTTTAGTTAGGTGGTGACTCACTTTTGGTTCAAATCCGTTTTACTATTGTTCCTTGGGACGAGAGGAGATTCCTTCGCAATCTTATCATTTTACTTCACCTTTTATGATCTTATGACTTGCACAGTTTCTTCTTTCTCCTCATCTTCGTCTCTTATAATCTCTACATTTTAAACCGTTTAATGGAATTACTCATGGTTCATTATTGTTCTTGGTTAAGAAGAACGTGTAGATCTACAATTTCTCTGCTTCGCCAAGAAGGTTTTGTAGCCTTATAATAGAGCCTGGATTGAAGTGATTTCTACTTGTGAGCCCCACTTGTGAGCCGAAATGTCGCTAGAACTGGATTATTTGTTGAACATTCATTAACTCATATATACCAAACCGACGTACTAGTTCTGTTTGTCTTTGTCCACTTTATTAATTGTTGGTTTCAATTTCGTACCAACGTTTGCATACATCATTGAATGTGTTATTTAAGTTGTAACCAAACCAACGGATACTTTTATCTGCGCGCATGCATTAGGGTTAGGTTTTATTTGGTTTCAGAACTATATTCAAATTTGTTTCGATTTTCTGAACGTAAGACTGGATATAATCGGCCATTCGATTTCAAGAGTATTTGCATGTGCTTCCCTAGTTCAGCTCAGTTTCATATATACGACCAAAGTTATATATATTTTCTCTATGAAATTGACCTGATAAAATTCCGAGTTGGAGACTGTTTTCGAATCTCGGGTGTGAACTGAAGTAATAACATCCATTTTCTTTTTTACCAAGTCGGAGATAAGAAAAATCAGGACACTGGAATTAAGCTTCGATTGATTCTTTTTGGGGGACAAAAATGTCACTAGTTTGAAAGATTGAACGGAAGGGTTAGGTGCAGTAGTTTGAATGAGATAAGGTGGTAGGCGAAGCATGTGGCAGCCATTAAATAAAATGAAGTTTGTGGTGGGAAATTGTAGAAGAAGTAGTATTTAAGCAACTCTAGTTTCATCATCATCTCATCAAATCAATACAAAGCTTATAATTGTAAGTGTACATTTTGTAATCAGTTAAACAAGTGATATCAATCAAAAGATGGAAGGGAAAACAGTGATTCTAAGTGTGCTCATAATGAGTCTTGTCATGGCGCAAATCCAAGTGGAAGCAAAGAGCTGTTGCCCGTCCACGACTGGTAGAAATATCTATAATACTTGCCGTTTTGGTGGAGGCTCTAGGTCAACTTGTGCTTCACTCAGTGGATACAAAATCGTTGACGGAACATGCCCTGAGGGATATACGAAGGACATACTTGAAAACTCAGGTACGTAAATAGTTTTTTTCCCTTGTTTTTAGTGTGTTATTTGTTACAAGATCGATCCAATTTTCATTTTTGAATTTTGATGCATATATATATTTTGATTTTTGGCTTAAGGTATGAATACTGCAAGTTGAGGTGTGCATCCTCTGTGTGTCGTGGTGCTTTAACCTGCTCTCCAAAACTCTGGTAAACCAAGATTTTCTAAGTACAATATTATTTATGTTAAACAAAAAAAATTTTGTTGGAATAAATAGGCAAGATAATATATAATAATCCATTTTAAGTTTTGGTTTTAGACGCAAGTGAAATTGTGAATGGAGCAGTTGAACAATGCACCAAGGCATGTTCTACTTTCTGTGCCAAGGGCTCTAAAATCGCGGTTAAAACTGCCTAAACAACCATATCCACGAAGATACCACATCCGAATTTCAGAGTCTTGTTTTCAATAATTATCGTGTGTATATGACAAATTAAAATGCTAGACTCTCGTGCTAGCTGTTACTATGTCCGGTGTGTCTATGTGTAGTAGAAAGTTGTTGATCCCTAGATTGTGTAACACTTCTACTCGCTATTATCTAAACAAAGAATTACGTGTCACTTGGTAGACATAATTCCCTTACTCTATATTCATACTCCAATTTCTCCTAATACCGAGAAAATATGTTGCACAGCAAAATTCAATCCGACAAAAGCTTCTCGCCTATACTTGGAGATCAAATTTTTATGAATGTGATTTGATGTGTAAAGAAACATAATATACGCACCAAACTCATTGAAAGCGGAAGTTAATTCGATAATCGCTTTCACATGTTTTTTGTTAATATATAAAAAAGACTTAAGAAAAATTCCTCGAAAAAGTTAGCTTTAAGAACAAGAAACCGTAACTGATGGCTTCACTTTGTTGTGCTCTAGACCGGGCATGAATGGAGAACTGAAATACCCTTCCGACTTCCTTGTCTAAGTTTATAACCATCAGATCTTGAAACTCTTGATCAACTGTTATATATATATTTCCAAATGTACAAGATAATTTTAACGTATAAATGTATTTAACACAAGCAAAATTCCGACTTTCGTTTGAAATATAAATGATATTTCTCAACCACTATATATAAAGTAGATTGCTTTAAACATTTCATTAAGAGACCTATGATTGGCCTACTCGCTTCTTTTCTAAATTATGTCCCACCATTTTCCATTTATAAACTCTCTTAACTCCAAAATCCAAATAATTGTTACGTATGATACAAAATAATAAGAACGTAAATAATAAATACGGTTATCAGATCAAAAACGGAAGATACATACATAAATATAGCTGAAACTGAGTAACGAATTTAAGAAAAAATTCAACTAATCTTTTAGCGTTCAAGTAAACCAATTTTTCAAAAACAAAATTGAAATGGAAAAACAAGAAATTAATTGCCTTAATTTGAATGAGACGGTTCAGTGGGGGGTAGGTGAAGTAGTTTGTGGTAGCAAGTGACTCATGAGCTTTGAGATACAGTCTAGAGCATTAAATAGATGGAGTTTGTGGTGAGAAATTGTGGAACAGCTAATATTTAAGTAAGTCTAATTTCATCAACATTCATATAAGTGTCTTCTCTACATATAAATAGTGTGATCAAACAAGTAGTATCAATCAAAGGATGGAAGGCAAAACTATGATTGTAAGTGTGCTCATAATGAGTCTTGTCATGGCGCAAATTCAAGTAGAAGCAGCTACAACATGCTGCCCCACCACGAAGGCTAAAACTGCCTATAATTTCTGCCGACTACGCGGAGACACCAAGGAAGTTTGTGCATATCGTAATGGATGCAAAATCATCGAGGAAGATGAGTGTCCTCCGAATCTTCCTCTCCAAAACATTGGTAAACTGATTTTATTGTTTGTGCTTTGTCATATTAATTGTTACAAGATGTGTCAAAATTAAGTTTTGATTTTTTTTTTTTTTTACTCAAGGTGATGTTGTGAATGAATACTGCAAGTTAGGGTGTGCATCTTCTGTTTGCGGTGCCTTAACCACTCTCCAAAACTCTGGTAAAATAATCCCTCCAACCACATTATACATTCTTTATTAATGATTTCGTTGGAATAGTATACAAGAGAATAATCCATTCTAACTTGGTGACCAGACTCGAGTGAAATCGTGAATGGAGCGGTCGAACAATGTACCAAGGCGTGTTCTACTTTCTGTACCAAGGCCTATAAGCCCACAGCTGAAACTGTTTAATCCGCAGCCGAAACTGCTTAAACGTGCATATTTCCATCAAGTGTTGTGCTGTTTTCCATGTTTTCAATAATTGTTGTGAAGCTTATCAATCTCTAGATTGTATATCCCTTCCACTTGCAATTATCTAAATAAAAAATCCGTTTGTAACGCGCAATTAACTCCTCGTATCAATCATTTTGGATTTGTTGAATGATGATTGGAATAACCAATTAGCAAGTATGACAACTTTGCAGAGTATATTATGTAAAACAAGCTTGTTGCGCATGATCTGTTTGATATTTCGGATTAGTGACGTGATTATAATCGGTGTAGGCGAGTGTTGCATTGCTTCCAGATCTCACCTTAGGAAGCTTGAAGAATCAGCTTGAGATCAGATGAGGAGCCAGTGGTCATGACCAACAAAATGATTGAAATCAACAAAACCACAAATTTCAATACAAAGTGCCGGGCTGAGTCGATTTGCTCTGTAGTCAAATCCGGCTCAGTAACACAGCAGAATCGGTCTAGACTAGAGCATCAAAAGAACACATACCACATTCGAGCAAGGTACTCGCGTAGCAGAGCTGCTAACCAGATTACAACCGGAGGGAACAAAACCAGACTCCATTCCATGAAACACATTTAGCCAACAAGCATTCCCTTTCCCTATGATCTACTGCATCACTAGCTACATCTGACCAATAATCTACTGCTTCGCTTTCTATTCCCAATATCAACAAGCCAATGGAATCACTTCATCTCAAGGCTTTAAAAGCATAATCTAACTTAAGAGCACCTCAATCATCATTAAGCAGATTGTATAACAATATAAAGACAGAGAAACCCTGTGGATTTTTTCAATTTGATAAAACATAATTCTTAACAGAAAAACATAGAATCTATTAAACATGGTCCAACGAAACATTAAAATCAAAACTCAAGAACAGGGTTTTTGTTGAGAAACTACTTAGATCGCTGTCTCATCTTTCGTCTCTTCCTCTTCAATCTCCTCATACGCTTCTTCTTCCACTGATACACACAGTAAATATCTCACTCAATGATTTTTCAGATTCTTAAGAATTGGATACATTTAATAAAAATTGAAACCCATTACTCACCTTAGCCCTCATGGTGAATTCACAGAAGATAAACCCTTGACTCCTCGGATTCTTTGCAGCTTTCACGAAATGAAGCGGCCGACAAAACAGAGAGAGATTTTGTTGATTTTCCTCATATTGCTTCTTTATATGACTGCTAAAAACCCTAGAGACTCGTTTTCTGTTTTGTCGATATTGGGCCGATCGATGCTAATTTAATTCCCGATAAAGCCCATATTATAAGCCTTTGTAAATTTGTAACCAGTAATGTTTATTTTTTTTTGGACTTTGAGTATTAACTTATTAGGCTTGTTTTGTCAGCTGTATAATTCGGGTATATAAGAGCATCCGCATTCGAGACAAATGTGGATGTCTTTAAATATAAAATTATTAAAATTTGAATAAAAAGAAGAAAGAGAGTGTTTTTGGTTGAAATAATGGGGTGTATTGAAATATAAAATTAATAAAATTTGAGTAAAAAGAGGAGATAGTGGATATTGTTGGAGAGATTGTGTTTTTAGGAAGACATAAATAATGACTTTTGGAGAGAGAATATGGGTGTGTTTAAATATAAAATTAATAAAAGTTGAGTAAAASAATGAAAMAGAAGGTATAAAGTTGAGTAAAAGGAAGAGAGAGTGTGTTTTTAATATTTGTTTATTTAAAGACATCCACAAAAGATGACGAATGCGGATGGTCTAAGAATTTCTGTCATCATCAAAGTACAACTAATTTACATCTGTTTAAAATATAAAATATCTACAAAGAAAAGTGATACAAACTTCACAATCACTGATATTAAAGACAGAGAGGAACAAATTTACATAAAAATCTTTCTATTTGAAAAGAAACTATAACCATTCATGTGTCATGTGTGTATAACTAAATATCTTCACTTATCCAATTACAAAAAAAAAACAAAATTATAATATCTTAATCACTATCACTCAAGACGCCGTCGTTTTCAGCCTCAATGCATTGGCAACGACACGGGCGAGTCGACTCGTATGGAGACACGGCAGAGCGGACAACTCGACTCGGTCTTAAGCCACCGATCCACACATTCGCAGTGGTAACAATGGTGACACGTAGGAAGCACTTTCATCTTCTCTCCTTCCTCGAAACCACCTAAACATATACAACACTCTCTCTCCTCCTCTTGCTCCGCCGCTTCTCTCCGGCAAAGAACCACCGGTAAGCTTCGAATCACAGCCGGATCAAGCCCTCCTCCGCTAACGCACCGCGTGAGAGGAGAAGGCGGCGCGTGGAGGTCGATGGAATCGCGGCGGAGGCAGCACCGGTGGATGTATAGAGTGAGTAAAGCGAAGAAGATGACGACGGAGAATAAAGCCATGGCGAAGAAGATTGTTCGGCCGTGAATTTGGATGTTACGGTCGTCGTATTGGTTCTCGTGCCAGTATAAAAGCATTGAAGCTTGTGGAGACGGTGAAGATGACGTCATTTTCCGGTTTGGGCGATCGTTGGTTCTTAATTCTTCTACTGGTTCGTTGATTGTGAACTACACATATATAGAGTTAAATGTTTAGTCACGTGGTTTTGTATAATTTAATGGAAATAAGTAGGACGAATATTAATTAGAGTTAAGAGGAGCTTTCGCAAGTAGTACAAGTAAGAGAGTAAAGTTTGGAGGAAAGTGGTTTCTTTAAAGATTATTTATAGTTTTCTTAATTAATTTCGGAAACTACAGAAAAGACTACATTAGGCAAACATGCATGCACGTTTGTGTTTTCTCAACATCCAAATACGCGCAGCATATGGCAAGTAGGAACAAACAGTACAAATTAGAAAATAAACAGTATGATTAAATTAGGAGTAAAACAAAAATTTTGTTATTTTAAGATAGAGTTACACTTTGGAATCGGTCATTGTTGTAAATCAAAGGCGATAAAGCAAAGAAAAATAGAGATTGAGACGAAAATAGGGTTTCTTATTTCTCGTGTGTTACAAAGAATAAAACCTAAACTCCATATATATATACATTTCAAAAAACCCGGTTTACTGACGTATACCGTACCACGGGGGGCTGCGCCCCCCCCCCCCCGTACCCCCCAAAAACTGCCTAGTGAGTTACCAGTACATTCAAGACTTGGGCCGTCCTCTGGACCTTCGGCCCAGCGAGGACTGGCCTTTTACCACTATGTATCTGATTATAAGTCACTTAGATAACAGT